GTGTACTGTTGGTGGCATCTAAACACCCAGGACATTTGGGGGGGGGGATTCGAAAGAGATGAGCATGATGAAGGAAAGATAGAAAAGGCCCAGAAGGCCCTGGCAGGGGCAGCCTACAGCAATTAGAAATAAAACAAAAACTCTTGCAAAACCCAGGGTAGAAAGGAGATTCTCCTAGCCAGAGGTGAAACTTAAGTATTATTTCCAACGTAAAAATCCAAGCAAACATGCAGTGTAGTGTGACTATTTAAAGAAAAATACCAAAATACTGTCCCTGGGAAAGAGTGATGGCAGATAAACTCTGCACAGGCCTTGGAAACAAGTCTTGAAGATGCCCAGAGAACCTAAGGAAAGCATGGAAGAGTCAAGAAAACGATGGAAGGACATGGGACCTATCATGGTTTGACTTCAACTGTCTCCCCGAAGCAATGTGTTGAGGATCTACTCCCCCGCATAGCACTGTTCAGAGGTAGGGACTTTGGGGAAGTGATGGGATCATGAGGGCTCTGACTGTATCAGCAGATTAAACCCAATAATGGGATCATAAGGGCTGGGGATGCAGCTCAGTTCTCAGAGTGCTTGCCTAGCATTCAAGAAGCCCTGGGTATGTTCTCACCTAAAACTCAGTGTGGTGGTCCATACCTGTAATCCCCGGAGAAACAAGTTTAGTGTCATCCTTAGCAACATAAAGAGTTTGAGGCCAGCCTGGGCTACATAAGACTGTCTCAAAAGCATACATAGAATAAACCCATTAATGGACTCAGGGCTTTAATAGCCTAGGGGGACGTTGTGGGAACTATAGGAGGTAGGCTTACTTAGAGGCAATAGGTTTGGGTGGCATGCTTTAAGGAGTATTTTGGTCTATGTCCCTTTTTGGTTCTCATGGTCTTTCTGCTTTCTGGATGTCATGAGGTGATCATCTTTGCTTCCTCATGTGCTCCCCACCATGATAAACTCTCATCCAGACTCAGAAGTATTAAAAGGTAGCAACCATGTGAGCCAAAATACATCTTTCCCCTTTCAAGTTGACCTCCCAGATATTTCCAAAGTGGTGGGAAGCTGTGCAACACAGGAATGATACATAAAACAAAATAAACTTTTAGAAAGTGAAACTGCAAACAACTAGTGATGAATGAAAACCCGCTGGAGAGAATCAAACATCTGAGCAGAGGGAGGAAGTAAGTGCACTCCAGGGCAGGATAACAGAATACTGGGTCTGAAGACCAGAAGAAACAAAGGTCAGGGAAGAGAGAACAGAGCTGAGGGGACCTGTGGGACACCACCAAAAAAAAACTGTGTACGTGTTGTGGGAGTCCCAGGAAAAGAGGAGAGAGAAAGGGATAAAGAGAATATGCAAAGAAAAAAAAAACCCTCAAACCTCCCAAATTTGATAAAAGACAAGAATGTAAACCTGCGAGGAACTCAACCAATCTCAAGACACATGAACTCCAAGAGACCCACCCCCAGGGGTGTTAGCATAAGACATTCAAAAGGCAGGGAGGACCTTGGGAGCAGCAGGGGAGAGGCTGCTCCCACACAGGAGACGCTGCTTCCACGCGGGGGACGCTGCTCCCACGCGGGGGATCCAGCGATGCTGCCAGCAGCAATGCAAAATTCAAATCAGCTTCCAGAACCCTCTGACTAATAAAACTTTTCCTTACACTTAAGGATGAATGACAATATTTGCCGATAAGCCAAGAGCTAGGATAGTGAGTCACTCCAGGACCCACAGGAAGGAAATTCTCCAGGGAGCTGACAGCCAGGAGAGGATAATGGGAGGGGATCTGCAACCAAATGAAAAAACAGAGCTTTGCCAGGTAAGCATGGGCAGCCACAAGTGAGGATTCCTGTAGCTTGGGTTGCTGATAATTCGACATTTTGTTTTTCACATGAGTTAAGGGCCTGATTATTTAAAAGGACGATAGCTGCATGTGAGGACACTGTATAAAGATGTCATTTTGTGTAATTTGATTCCTGAAAGGAGTGGGGGCAGTGCTGAGGGAGGGGAGTTTTGTTTGCTGTTGAAATCGTATCTACATGGAGTTGTACTGTTGAAAGTGAAAGAGAACAGATACAGAATAACAACAACAACAAAAAGAGATAGGAGGAGAGTTTAAACATTTTACTATTAAAAAAAAAATCAACTAAGCAGAAAGTCCATTCAGGAAAAGGACATGCAGGAAATAAGGGGCAGAAAAAGCTACCAGACACACAGGAAACAAATAACAAAGTGAAGAACGAAGACCCTGCTTATCAGTGATTCCTTTAAATGATTTCACTATAGAACCAAAGGAGAGAGATTGGTAAATAATAATAATAATAATGATAATAATAATAATAATAAATGAGTTCATTATATGCTGTCTATAAGAAACTCGCTTTAGGTCAAAGATAGGCTACAGGAGACAAAAGGTGCTTTTTATTTCATAAAGGATGTATTCAACAAACAGGAAATAATCACAAATATATTCACACCTAGTAACAGACTACGGAAAAAAGGCTCGGGAAGACTGCTCAGCAGGCAAGTGCTGGTCACGGAGCATGAGACTTGAATTTTGATCTCTAGCATCCACACAAATGGCCAGTTGTAGCAGTGTTTGCCTGTAATCCCAGTGTCAAGGAGGCAGAGACAGGAGGATCTCCATTATTTCTTGGCTAGCTAGCCTAGCTGAATCATTGAACACCAGGTTCCATGGGAGACCCTGTCTCGAAAAAAATAATGTGGACAGAGATTGAGAAGGACATCCAGTGTCAGCCTCTGGCCTCCACACACACACTTGTGCAAACATACAAACATGTGCACATATATATGTGGCATGCATGTAACTCCCCACCCCCCCCACCCCCAACCAGCTGAAGGGAGAAACAGAATTCTTCACTAACAGTTGGAGGCACCATTGCTTCATCTCATGATAGGATACCCAGCAGCATATAGGGACATAGACCCCATGCCTGGCTAAAGGGTTCTTCTCCAATTGACGGAATTTTACTTTAAAACTTAATGATTTCCCACAGAATTAAGTTTCTCTTCACTGTTACAAAGAAAACAGATTTCACATATCAGAAAGCAAAAGTGAATGCATTCAAGTCTGATGAGCTTGCCATGCTGACTTCATCTTCAGAGAAGCTGAGAGATGCCAGTTATTTCTGGAAGACAAACAGCATCATGAAGCTGGCATCTAAAAAGCAAGAGAAAGTTCAAGCTGCCCCAGTGCTCACTGGGGCACAACACATTCACCCTAGGTCCACTTCTGACTGCAGCAGCTTGAAGTAGTTTCCATGTGAGCAACCATGTCTCCACAATGGAAAGAAAAACAAACAAACAAAAAACAACAACAAAAACCCAAACTCACAATTTCTACCTTCTAGAGAACTGTACTTGCATGCAGTCTCTCAGGAAATGTCAAGAGCATCACAGCTAAGAGTCAGTGTGGAGTTTCCAACACAAAATGCGGCTCCTCCCCACCCTGGCCAAGCCAGTAGGCAGCGCACGTTTTTTGAAGACAAATGCCTCATGGAGCCAAGTAGTGGGGATTTGGAAGGAAAACACATCAGCTTTCCAGATGAAGGTCAACAGAGAAACGAGCAGGGAAGACAGGGGCAGTTTGGCGGGAATCCAGAGCAGGCAGCTAGCAGATGTCTGTGGCAAGACTAAATAGGCGGAGTGAGGCTCGGGGCTGGCTGCAATGGAGAGATTGCGTTGCCCCTGTCCACACAGGCTGCCATTGCCCCTGGGCTTCTTAGGTGTGTCCCCCAACCTCTACTGCTCAGTCAGAGACAGGGTGAAGGAAGTAAAGGTGGTTAAAAAAATAGAGGCGGGTGGGTTCCAGGATCCCCTGTCTGACCAGGACGTCTGTGAGCAGCCCACTCCAAAGGTGGCTCTGGGTCATACCCTAGTATGTTTCAGGATATCTCAAGATTAACCAATATAGACCCCCCAGTCTTCACTGAAGACCTCTAAAAAAGAACCATTCAGGGTGTCCCTGGCTACTATTCAGGATGGTAAAAGAATTCAGGTAAAAAAAGGATTCCCCTTTACCCCAGATGAAATCCTAGGTTCACACACAGAAGCCTGCATCAGCAAGAGCAAGAATCAGTTTTGTCTGAGAGCTGGGAAGTGGGGAGGTGTGGGAATCAAGGCCCCACTTACAGGGATTGGCATCAGGCTGCAAAGGTATTAAAAACGGGCCAGAGAGAACCCTGCTCCCAGAATGAGAACCCTGCTCCCAGAATGACGGAGGATGCTTACGTCCTTCCTCCCCCTCCCACACCACACCCCCTCAACAGGACCCTAGAGTAGACAGGAGTCTGAATAGTGGAGAGAGTGGGGGGCAAGCCAGCTATGGAGATAAAACCCAAACTGTGTGTGTGTGTGTGTGTGTGTGTGTGTGTGTGTGTGTGTGTGTGCGCGCGCGCATGCGCGCGCGCTCTTTATATGTATTCTACATATTATTCAACTACAGTGGAATCAAATTAAAAATCAATAATGGGGAGGTCATAGGTGAAAGGATAAAGAATATAAACATAAAACCCAGCCGGGCAGTGGTGGCGCACGCCTTTAATCCCAGCACTCAGGAGGCAGAGCCAGGTGGCTCTCTGTGAGTTCAAGGCCAGCCTGGGCTACCAAGTGAGTCCCAGGAAAGGTGCAAAGCTACACAGACAAACCCTGTCTCAAAAAACCAAAATAAAAAAAATAAAATAAAATAAACACTCAAAGGCTTAATGCCGGGCGGTGGTGGCGCACGCCTTTAATCCCAGCACTCGGGAGGCAGAGCCAGGCGGATCTCTGTGAGTTCGAGGCCAGCCTGGGCTACCAAGTGAGCTCCAGGAAAGGCGCAAAGCTACGCAGAGAAACCCTGTCTCGAAAAACCAAAAAAAAAAAAAAAAAAAAAAAAAAAACCCAAGGAATATTCTTGTAAGTAACCATGAGTTAAAGAAGAAGCCTCAAGAAAAATAACGTAAAACACAAGGAATGGAATGAAAATAAAAATTCAACTTACCAACATGTTTTGGTTGTGGATGCGCTAGAGCAGGACAAGCAGTAACTTTACAGTGCTGAGGTATTTACACTGGAAAAGAGGAAGTGTCTTGATTAATAATCCAAGCTCCCACTTCAAGAGCCTAGAAAAAAATAAGAAGAAAAGAGTCCAGGCTGTGCCAGTCTAGTGGTCACACAGATGGTCCTGGTTACACCAAATGGTCACAAAACAACCCCAGAAGTGATGAATCTTGGAAGAATGCATTCCCCTAACTATGCTTAGATGCTTGCAACAGTTTTAGCCACAGTATCTGACTTGGACATTCTTTGTCAGATAAGCGTTAAACAGGCTGAGTTCATCTGTATCCCTACGGCTAGTTGACAGCAGGAATGGATGAATGAGGAGTAACAGACAGGGAAGCCTAATTTCCTCCAACTTATAATGACCAAAACCTGACAACTCCAAGAGGTTGTCCATGACATTCTTGAAGTGGAAAGGTCAAGAATTTGAGAACAGATTAGTGTGAATAAGAGCTGAGAAAGGACTGGGTGAGGATTTCGTTGTTCCTGGGGAGTGTGCATATATACCTGTGTGTAAGGATGTCTAGTGTACACATTGTCCATCTGTGGTGTGTGGGGCATTGCTTGTACATCTGTGTATGAGTGAGAGAGTCACTTGCACTTAAGCATCTTGTGATATACACATCTGCTATGTACATGTGAGTACGGTATTTGTGGGTGTGTCTTAGGGTTTTTGTGGTGGTTTGAATGAGAATGGGCCCATAGGATCATATATTTGCATACTTGATCCTCAGTTGGTGGAACAGTTTAGGAAGGTTAGAAGGTGTAGCCTTGTTTTGAGGAGGTGTGTCACTGGGGGTGGGCTTCAGGGTTTCAAAAGCCTACACCATTTCCAGTTAGTCTTTCCCTGCCTCCTGGTTGTGGATCCTATGTAAGCTCTTGGCCATTGCTCCAGCACTATGCCTGCCTGTCTGCTGCTGTGCCCCCCAACATGATGGTCATGGTCACTGACTCACCCGCTGAAATTGTAAGACCTAATAAACTCTTCTATAGGTTGCTGTGATCATGGCTTTTGTCAAGACAATGACAATAGAAAAATAACTAAGACAGTTTCTATTGTGATTAAACACCATGATCAAAAGCAACTTGAGGAGAAGAGGGTCTAATTTCAGTTTATACTTCCACACCACAGTTCATCATTGAAGGAAGTCAGGCAGGAACTCAAGGCAGGAACCGGGAAACAGGAACTGAAGCAGAAGCTATGGAGGAATACTGTTTCTTGGCTTGCTCCTCATGTCCTATTCATCCTGCTTTCTTATACAAGCCAGGACCACCTTTCCAGGGGTGGTGGACTGCCAAAGTGGGCAGGATTCTCTTCATCAATCAGTAAGAAAATGTTCAACAGACTTGCCTATAGGCCAGTCTTCTGGAGGCATTTTCTCAGTTGAGAGTTGCTCTTCCCAATTGACTCTAGTTTATGTCAAGTTGACAGAAAACAAACCAGGACAGAGCATGCACACCTACCTGCACACACAGGTGTGCCTAGCTGTTCACTTTGTAATTCTTGTCTGGCTTAAGACATGCGATGTCATGAGGTCCTGGGACCAAAGCATTTTCCAGAAAAGGATGTGTCTGAAATGACACCGACAATGGAAAGTACTGTAGGGAAATACTCACTTTACACAACTCATGGGCCAACATGAATAGAGCCAGCACTTCCAGAAGCACGGGTACCCTCACCCCAACCCAAGAGAACTCAGTCATGTGCAAACACTTTTAACCCTCAACTGAGAAACATCAACTACAGGATGAAGGAACAGTGAGTTCCTTTAAATGTGGTTCTTCCTTAGAATATGTTTAGAACATAACTCCATTGGACAGAATGCAAGCCAAATGAACCCTGGTTGGGAGTGTCTGTGTTGAGAAGAACAGAGAGCAAATGAAAAGAATCAGAGGCAGGCTGGGGGGTGCAGAAGTTAGAGTCTCAATGGGAACTTCTCATAAGTTCTGGACCAGGGTCTTAGGTCAGAGACAATGGCCTAGAAATCTGCCAGCCTGGGTCAGACTCTTTCCATTCATCAGAAGCTTTTGAGCCCCACTGGGATGTTAACTGGCTCCATTCAGCCCAGATGGATCTACGGGGAAGAGACTTACTGGTTGGCTCAGCATCCAGGCAGCCTTCATGCAGCATTTTGACAATAGCAAATGGAACCCTGACTTTCTACGTCTCATGCATCCTGAATGGGACAGTGGCTAGTGAACTGATAGTCTGGTGGTGGCTGTTTCCTAGGGCCAGGTAAGGCCAGGTGGGCCATCAGAGCAGTGATTTCTCAAGATAGGGCTTGAAACATGTTTCTAGTCTTCAGCTGCAAAGATTTTACTGGAGGCTGATTATCAGGCAGACAGGAGAGAAAGGCTGGGTGATCAGAAAGACATGGCTACACCTTCAGCTACATGCTTCCATGCCCTCAGCAACAGACATGGGAGGAAGGGGACCTCACAGGACACAGGGGGACACAGTTCACTGGACTTCAAATTATCTCTAGTCTTGAAATATTCTTCCCCCTCCTCCTCTTCTTCCTCCTTCTCTTCTTCCTCCTCTTCCTCTTCTTCCCCCTCCTCCTCCTCCTCCTTCTCCTCCTCCTCCTCCTCCTTTTCCTCTTCTGTTTTGTTTTTTGAGACAGGGTTTCTCTGTGCAGCCCTGACTGTCCTGGAACTGACTCAGTAGACCAGGATGGCCTGGAACTCAGAGATCCTCCCGCCTCTGCCTCCCAAGTGCTGGGACTAAGGCATGTGCTACCACTGCCCCGCTGGTATTTATTTTCATATTTGGTGAAATTCAGTAATTTGAATAAATTTTGTATACATAAATTCACAAAACAGAAAATGAATGCCCAGAGACTTGCTGTTTGAGAGTCCTCTCTTATAGTAACCTTCTATCAGGTTTCCATGACCCCGAGGGCCAGCACCTCTCCTTGTTTGCAATATCTCCTCTGCTGAGGAGAGAAGAGCCTGCCCCAGCTTTGGAGATGAGGGACCATGAGAAATGAGGCCATGTTTCTGCTGAGTGATAGGACCCCACAGAGTTGCACCCTATTTGAGGAGGGTGGGAAGGGCTTCATGGGACCTCAGACTGTGGGGTAAGGTGGTGCTTCTAGAACCTTCTGCAGCAGCAAGAGTCATGGATCACAAATGGAACAGCCTAGACTGGCACCATGAAAGATGAATGCTGACCACCGTCCACATTCCAGGCTGAGGGCAGCTGATGGCCAGGGCCAGCCTAGAACAAGCCTCTGTTTACGGCCCCTTCATGGGCATGCCAGCCACTCCATTAGCCTCCGTTCCTTGAAGAACTGGATGATGGGCAGAGGTCGCTTCAATTTCCTCTCTTGTTCACTGTTGCTGACCAAATCCAGCACTGCCCTCCTCCATCGGTCCCTTGCCAGCTCCCACCTACAATTCCTGGGGCAAAGACAGGGGTATCACTCTCAGCTTTCCTGGAAAACATAGTCCTCCCCACATGGGACCCTTCTACCGCTCAGGGCCCTGAAAGGGGTCAGAACAGATTTTTTTTTAACCAAAGTAATAGCCTAACTGAATAAAAGCATGCAATTATATAAAATGAAAGCTGCAAAGTTTTAATCACTAAATTATGTGCATGTTTCTCGTTTCTTATACAGCCTAAGTAAAACAGAGATGGTAATTTCTCACCACAGAGCAGGCAATTACTCCTTCCATGCATTTCTTTTTAATAAGCGCACAAACAGCAAGAGCCCCTTGGATCACCAGGATTCCAATAAGAAGAACAAACACTGGGCGCTCAGCCTCATGAAGAAGTGTCTTGGTTTACAAACCAGATTCAGAATATGTACCGAGTGCTGCACATTTGGGAGCCAGGGGAAGATGGGCAGGGAGCTCAGGACAAAATGTGGGCAGCCAGGGTGGGGGGAGCATACTCTGGACAGTCACACAGCTCAGCACATTTGTTCTCCCTCTTGGCTGGGTTGGGCCACTATGTGTCTGCCCTCATGGGGTTCTGGGAGGGCCCCTGAGGAAGGTGTCCTGTAGGCAGAGGTCAGGAAGGGTGCGCAGTTTAGGTTTAAGTCTCCTCAATAGGCTCTCATGTTTGAACACCTGATCCCCAGCAGGTGGCTCTGTTTTGGGAGGTTCTGGAACTTTAAGGACATGGGACATAAGAGACAGAGATAGGTCACTAGAGCTTGGCCTGCTGAGATGCTGGTTCCCAGCTCCTGACTTCTTGCTTTCTGTGATGAGAACAAGCAATGTTTCCTGCTCCTACCGTATGACTGAGCCGCTCCCATCGCCACACCTGCCCTGTCAAGATGGACTCACCCATCTGAAACTGGGTGCAGAAAGCACTCCTCTTAGGTTGTTTCCATCAGTGTGGTGAGAAAGGGAACGGATACAGAGGGATTCCTGTAGGAGAGGCTGTTGAGATACATCTGGGAGAAGAACGCAGTTTCCAAAAAGGCAGGAGCGTCCTGATCCAAGACCTAGCAGAAGGACCAGTTGGAGTCCATGAATCTAAGATGCAGAGAGCACCAGAGTGTTCCAGCAGCTGTCATTGGCTGCCTTCATCCCCCCAGGTCGGTGTCCCTGCTGCGTCCAGGCCACACACACCCCTGCCTTCCAAAAACACTGTAGCCTTCCCCAAAACACTCCACAACCTACACTATGACCTCAGACTCTGGGACAGGGTGATGACATGTGCCTCTTCTGCTGTAAGAGTTCCACCATGCTCAGGTGGGACTCTGTGGGGAGTCTTCCCACGTGTCAGAAGGTGCACACTTCACCAAGTGGCCTAGGAAAGGAGTCTGTCTGCTGCCTGCCAGGGTGAACTCTGGCACTTGGGAGCAAGCCCAGGACTCATTCTCAGTAAGCCTGGGTTATGAAAGTAAGCTGGGAGCTGCCATATCCAAGGACAAGTACGGTGATATTTTATTTGTACTGAAATGTGATTTTATTTGTATGTTAATAAATGAAATTGCCTGGGGGTCAGAGCTAATAGTAAGCCATAGTAAGCTGGGTGTTCATGGTGCACACCTTTAATCCCAGCACTTGGTAGGCAGAGCTAGGTAGATCTCTGTATGGTCAAGGATACAGCCAGCATTGGAGATACACGCCTTTAATCTCAATACCAACCATAGAAGACCTGGAGGTCTGTACAGACAGGCAGTGACGAGGCGGTCATGTGGTTGGGTTTACAATCAATGAGAAGGCAGAACAGAAAGTCTATATAAAGACAAACACACAGGAAGTAACGCTCTCTTGGCTGAAGAGGATCGCTGAAGCAGGAAGGGTAAGGCTCTTAGCTCTGACCTCTTGGGCTTTTATCTTTACATTGGCTCTGTGTTTCTTATTTAATAAGATGGTTACTTCTACAGACAAGGCCATGTCAGGGGTGTGGCGAGAGGGTGCTGGGAACGCATCATAAAAAGCACACTGCTTTCCTGTCCACCGCAGGTGTGGACCCCTCAGCTGTGCATGGGCCTAGTGGACTTGTGCTGATGTGCTCCCTAAAAGAGCTGCATGTACTGAACTGTGAACTGTGGGAGGGCAGGGTGATTAAGCCTGGCGGGACATCACGGAGGCATCAATGTATCCTCATCAGTCAACCCGCTCAGCCTCCCCGGGAATATGAAGGGTGTGGGCAGCTAGAGGCCAGTGCTGAAATGAGGGAGAAACACTACATAGCTGAAGCGATTGTAGCGTGTGGCCTGAGAGAACGCCAGCTCACAGCCTTGCACTTTTCAAGAAAAAGTCTAGAAAGTTGAGGGAATCAATTGACTTTGAAGAAACAAAGCACTGTTTGCCTCCGTCAGTGCCAGGCATGGTCAGAATGCCCCTCAGGAGTCACTGCCCCATCCATGCCCAGGACATAGCTCCTGTGAGGTGAGTCTGGTTATGATAATGCCCTCGTAGCCCTGGATGCAGGGCAGGGTCCACTGAAGCCTTGAGAAGACTGGTGTGGTGTTTTGAATAAGAATGGACCCATAGGCTCATAGATGTGAATGCTTGGTCACCAGAGAGAGTAGCACTATTAGGAGGTGTGGCTTTATTGGGGTAGGTGTGGCCTTGGAGGAAGTGTGTCACTGGGGGTGGGCTTTGGGGTTTCAACTGCTCAAGCCAGGCCCAGTGGTTTCTCTCTTCCTGCCGCCTGCTGATCCAGATAGAGAACTCTCAGCTACCTCCCAGCACTTTGTCTGCCTGCATGCCATCATGCTTCCTGCCAAGACTATAGTTGATTAAACCTCTGAATGTAAGCGAGCCCCAATTAAATACTTTCTTTTATAAGAGTTGCCATGGTAGAGAGATGGCTCAGAGGTTAAGAGCACTGCTTGCTCTTCCAAGGTCCTGAGTTCAATTCCCAGCAACCACATGGTGGCTCACAACCATCTATAATGAGATCTGGTGCCCTCTTCTGGCCTGCAGGGATATATGCAGACAGAACACTGTATACATAATAAATAAATAAATCTAAAAAAAAAAAAAAGAGTTGCCACGGTCATGGAGTCTCTTCATAGCAATAGAACATTGACTAAGATGACTGGAGACTTCTTTTAGCACAGAGGAAATGCCTGTGGGTGTGATGAAAATTTCAGCATCTAA